AAGTAATTGATTTAAATATTTAATCCTTTTTGATGTATATTGAAACACGAGGAATTTTTTTCTTATTAGTAGACATAAAAAGTATTCCTACACATATTTTAATCGAAGATTGCGAAAATAATGAAGGCAATCTCCGAATAATTTGCATTAATAATTATATATAATTTGTGAATAACAAGCTGCGTAGTAACAAAAAAAATTAATTGTTCATAAGATTAAATATCTTCAACACTTTACTAAGCTTTACAAGAATCATTGACTTTTGTTGAAAGACATTCGAGTGTTGCATTTTCTTTCAAAAAATAGCTGGACATGTATGGAGTATTTTAAGACATTTACAAGTCTGACACTTGAATGGGAACTGCGTAGTGAGTCTCATAAGAAAAGTATTGATAGGCCGCCATTTTCATTGAAGGATACGTGGAATAGTTGTTAGTATTGTTACGATGAAATTTACTGTAGGTTGTATATAATTACATAGTGCTCGTCATCTTGGTTTATTAATAATCATGTTGACAGAATAAAATTGAATTGAGTAGAAAAAAAAATATATTCTTCAATGAATAAATAATTTTTTGTACTAACCAAACTGTATGAATATTTAAAATCAATTTCTAAATTACTCTAGAATCTAGAAAGAAGATAAATACTTTTATAAAAAATGTGTTTTTTTCAATTTAATATTTTGGAGTAACTTCAATTGTCAGATAATTTTTGGAGTAGAAAAATATTTTCCTGAAAAATGAAACTTTTCTTTTGATAAAATATATCCAGTTGATAAATAAATTTAAATTAAGTATCAAATTAATGAAATTTAAATAATAAAACATAAATAAAAGATTGACATTTGTATAAAAAACAACAGTGAAGTACTTGAAAAAAAAAATCTTTCCCACTTTGAGATTCATCTCAAATTGAGTTTTATTGTTTTAACTAGTTTAGTTTTGAACAAAAGTCAGCTGTGAGATTAAAACAAAGTTCAATATTGAAGATATAAATTTGACTTTAGTAGCTAACAACTCAGAAAGGTAAAAATGATATGCCATTTTAATTCTCTTGCATATTTCAAACTCCTGTAACTTATCATAGAGTACAGAAGTGCTGATTGCAGCAAAATATCGATGAATATCTGTATAGTTTCATCCGATTACACTTAGTTTTGATATAACATCATCAAATGTGTAAAATAGTCTCGGATATGATTGCAAAATTGAAGGGAAAATGGAATAGAACATAAAATACATAATATGATCATCTGAAAACTTGGAGCTTCAACATCTCTAAAAGCACGCTATATCGTTTGGCATAAACTCGATACACCAACTGAACTAGTGTTAACTCATACACGTGTACAACGATAAAACTGTTGGTTCTACGATCGATATAAAAGGCCAAGTGACCATTGATGAATGTGTTAAACTCGTGAATACCTTCAAGTTTTTTTTTTACAGTGATGTCCTCTATATAATAATAAATTTCATACAATGTGTCAATGTCTATTACTTCAAAAAAAAACTTTTTATCCAACTAAAAAGACCAATAAATAAACAATAAATTTACAAATTTTCACCTAAATAAATTAATGCAAGTCAAATAGATTGAAAAAAAAAACCAACAAACATCACTCTAAAAAATATTTGCACTTTAATTGCTAAACTATTCAATCATCTGCAAGTTAAGGTATTTTGTAAGATTGGAATATTTATAAAAAGTTTATCATTTGTTAAAAAAAAAACGAAGAGCTTGAAAAACAATTGAATTAAAAAGTAATATTAAAAGCTAAACAATAGCTTGGTATTACAAAAAAAAAAGATAGAGTTGTTGCGCTCTTTGTATCTTTTCAATGATTGTTTTCTCATAGTTTAATGATTATAAACTATCGAAACATTGCTTAATACAATGATGATATTTGAATATTGATGATTTTTTACTTATACTTGCCCAATCAGAATTATTTATATGTTTAAACAACATTGATGAGCATGATCTACATTATGATTCATTTCATGAAAGAATATATTGGAATGATAAACGTCATGTGAGATGTCTGGGTGTGTCAAATTATCAACATTTTCCTCATAGAAGTGAGTTTAAAACACTAGAAAGACTTCTAAGAGACTTTAACTGAGTAACTTATGCACGAATGAGTTATTTCAATGATCTGTAAAGCAGATGAATAGAAAAGTTGACATTTTGCATGCTTTCCTTAACTGTTTAGATTGCAGATCTCCATCTGTCATCTTGTTCTTACTTCAGCAGTCTAAATAAATACAAACTCACTTTGCATTTTCAGTGGAATTCTTTTTTTTTTTTTTAATTACATTCCTATCTTATGACAAATTTAACGTCAACAATTTTTAAAACAGTTAGAAACTAATATGACAGTTGAATTGTCAACACAAATAAATAAACAAAATTTATGTATTTATTTACTCATGATACTTACCCGCTAAAATCATATCACGTTCGTGTTTCAATAAAAAATTCAAAAATATATGAAACATATATGTAAATATAAGTATATAAATATATATATATCTATTTTTTTCAACAATTCTTCGAATTCTCTTATCTGAAATTCAAGTTCTTCTTTATCTTTTTTCAATTTTGTTAAAGGTTTCTATTTTTAATATACTTTTATTACTTGGTATTATTCACTGATGCACTTATCAGTTTAATATCAATATGTTACAGATGAATTAGTTGTCAATGGTTAATGATCGATTCTTATTATTATCACTGATTGAATTAGTAAAATATGGTATATGTACACAACACAGTTGATAAATAAACTATATAGAGTTATTAAAAGATTATTTTTCGTAAGAAATATGAGCTTCTCCAGCAACTCTTGTCGGTATTATTAAGATAGTTTAGAAAAAATAAAATATAGCATATTCTTTGTTACACTCATTCTGCTTAAAAGTTTCACGGTATTCTCAAGTAGCATATACTCGTTCGTCTTTTTCCCCCTTTCTCTTTATTCAACTACCAACAGTGTGCAAACTGTTAACCTGTAAATTCTCACGTTATTCTTATATATATATCTATGTATATATATTCTCAGTAATGATCAATAGAAAGTATTTACATGGACTTTTCTCTTAGATTTCTTTTCAATTCGCCATCATATATCTGTCTTATCAACATCAGTCTTTCCTTTCTTTCATGACAAAGCGGTTATATTGATGTCGTTATTTCACTTGAGAGTAGAACAAAAATCATAAAATCACTGCTTTTTCACTCACAATTATAAACAATTGATTTAACAATAAAGTTTATTAATAATCCATGATAAAAAAACAACAAATATATCTAAAAGCTAAAATATCTTTCACGAGTATTAAGAAGAATTTGTCTGGCAAGATTGGCTGATTTTTTGCAACATTTCACATTTCGGCGTATATCTTGTAGTGATAAAAAAGCATATCGTGCTGATGTTTTTTGTGCTTCATTAAAAAAATATTTCATAATCGAACTAATAAACATCACTGACATTAATAAATGGTATTAGTGTTGATAAATGCGTGAAGGAAATAGAAAATGACACTCTTACTTTTCCCGAGGGATAATCGAGATTCTTGGAAACAATTGATCAGATAATGAATATTTCCACGCCAACAACACGATTACATTACTATTTAGTTAGCACGGAAATATATATTGCGTGACGTCAACGATGATCGGCAGAATAACATGCGGCGGTTTGACAACTGGCAGTTGTAACCGCATTCAATCGTAATCCAGCTTGCAATTGGTTCTATGCTACACGCGACGTGTCGTAGTTGTCGCTTTTTGAGATATATACTCTACTAAAACGCTAAGTACACTTCTTCGCGGGTTGGTTGGTCGCGAATCCGTTTGTTTGTACCCTTTGCGCTGTCTCGCGCACACTTGGGCATGTACATGCATATACCGTAAACTATACGGTACGGACGCTCATCAGGATAGGAACTCCCCGCTCGGTATGCGCGCGCATTTACTGAGAAAAAGAGAAGGAACGTTTGTGTGTAGGTCATATGATCCTCTTTCTCCAACTTACTCTGGTATAATATGGCCCATCAGGTGACGGTTATGAAGGTAGTGGTAATCTCACACTACATTACAACTCCGTCTGACTTACACTACTGGCTCAACTGGCTTCCCTGTGTATTGCTGGTAGTGGTAGTAGTTAAAGCCAGTATCGCCAGCACGTTCGTTTACTTGTACGTAAAGTAAAGGGTGGGGCAACGAATGAAGGAGAGTAAGGGGAGTATACTTGTCATCTGTATGTGCAAGCTTTTGTACAAACACAAACTGCACGTAACAACTTGTGTGAGAATCTTGACAAGTAATGTTAGCCTGCAACGTGTGTGATAGCCGTGGTTAAACGTGCTCCCTAAGATTTTACACAGGGGTTGCTCACACTGCTATCCATACATGTAGACTTTCATCGTGCAAGTGTTAAGACACTAGAGACCAGGATAGTCCCACGAGGGAGACAATTCGGCAAGTTAAACAAAGAAGAGTAAAATGCGCGCGCAGATGACGCAGGATATGTATACATGCACTCTTCTCACATTCGATGTGTGTCGGTATTTTATTATAGATGTGGACAGACACGAGAACGAATTTTCTAGGCGCCAAATTAATGGGGGGTTGTTGAGTCCAAAAAACACATATACCAGTAAGTGAAAGAAATTTAACAAGAGAACCAAATAAGATGAGTGGACTAGCCAGTTTATGAAAAATTACAAGATTTAAATTTGTACTCTATTCTACATGTGTCTGAAACATATCCTTTCAATCCTACTACCACTTATTTATTCTATTCAATAAAAAATGTCATAGAAATATCAATAATTCTTTTCAGAATATGATAGAATGAAATCAAATTGTAGATTTAATCAAATATAAATAATCATCAGTAATTATGGAATAAAAAATATTCAATTATTTTTAATCGGAAATGTGTCAAAAGTTATCGAAGTGAACATGAGAAAATAGAGTCATTGACTTACCATGTTGATGAGGAGCACTAAATGCTGAATGTCTTCTTGGTGACATGTTCGGATGATTACTTTGACTTCCAGGTGGTTGCATCGAAGATAAGGCGCCAAGAGGTGTATAAGATTTACACGGCTGCTCTGGTTTCTGTCAACAGCAATTTAATAAACTCCAATAAATTCTATCTAATCAGTTAGCGGTATCTTCTTTTTTTTTTCTTTTAATTTTCAATAAAATTTCTATCAACTCGAGTCAAAATATAACACTTATTTTGATCCTAAGACTTCTTTCTTAAGGTTTAACTTAAGATGAATAAATCCTAATTAAAATTGGAATACGCAACAAATCAGCGTTTCTATAGGACGAAAATTTTCCAATTTTATCCTATCTTCACTCTTTGAGATTCGAGTAATTTTATTTTAATAGAAACATTATTATTTATAATTAATTATTTTATTTTAACTCTCCTTGGGCTGTCCATTACTATTATTATTATAAGTATTACAATCATATGTATTATCAAAAAAGTCTGACTCTAATGGGAGCTATTATAATATAGACTATCTTCATATTTGAAAAAACAGTTTTATTTCATTAGTTAATAGGTTTGAACGAATTATTTGTATCAATTTCATTGTTAATAAATAAAATTTTTGGAAAATTAATCGATTTATATAAATTGTAACTTTATTCTATTTCCAGAAAGTACTATTTGATATAAACCCTACTATTTGAAATCTAGGATAGAAAGGATGGGAATAGTATAGAAAGAATAAATGTAGGTGTTATATTTTGACTCGGGTCAGCATTTAGAATAAATTATTTTGTGGATCAACTTATCTGAAATACAGTTCTTTTTTATTTATGACTCTCAATTATTGATGGAATCAATTATCTATCATTTGTTCAGCTAAAAAAAATCTGGATAGTTGAAACTACCAAAGTTAGTGTAAATATATTTTTCATGAAACTCTATAGGTTTTCGTGTTCAATTAATGATTACCGTTAAAGTTTCGTATACCCACTGGTAAACGATAATTCCCTTGATTATAATCGGTATATAATATTAATCTATGCATATCTTAAATTGAAGAGCATACCTGCTCGTGAAGTTCCGCAGCCACAGCAGTAGCCGCAGTTTGCGTGTGGCTGGTTGAGCTGATTCTATATTGCATTCCAGCGATGCTACAGAAACCCTCGTGGTGGGTTGATCTAGTTTGATTAACATAGACACCTACACAGAGATGACAGTGAGAACAATTAGATTAGTCAGGTATAATATACCATCAATAATCAACAAAATTATACAAATAATATCAACTAACCAGTAATGGTAACGTCAGTATCCTGATTGACAATAACCAGTTTTTTTGCTGCCTTGATCTCCTCTTCTTGCTTTGCTTTTCGTTTGTCCATTTCCGAATCACCCTTTCTTCGTTTGATTATTTCAACCTCAGAGTCACTAGACGATTCGGTGGATGAACTTTGTCGATTTTTTTCATCAGAATAAGAAGCTGCTAATATAGCAGAGGCATTTAAACTTGCCATTCTCTTGGAAACCACCATATCTTTGAGATTCATCACTTCCTCCGGTTTTTTTCGTCTCGTTGTATTTTTTTTCCTACCACGTTTAACGTTTTTCTCAACGCATTCACCAGACTCTTCATCTGACGACGAAGACGAAGACGAAGAACTCTCCATCATGTCCCAATGTTTCCCTCGAAGACCAGGTACATTCCTCAAATTTCTCTTAGAATTGTTCTCCGACTCAGATCCTTTGCTACCACAATCTGGTACTTTAGTCTCTTTTTCTTTACGTTTCGTTGAAGGCTCCTCTTTAGATTCTTTATTGACCTTTTTCAGCTTATCTTTTTCTGCTGATTTCGGCTTGCAAAATCCACCGAGGTAAACACCTCCAGCTTCATTTTCATACAAACAATGTACTTTAGCCAGAGCATTAAGTGAAGCAACTCTGTGACGTTTCGGACCAGACCATAAATCGAATAACATTCTCCGTGTGCTTTCATCATTTGAAGAATCTTCATTGTCTTTCTTCTTTCTCTGCTTACTTTGACGAGTCTCTATTTCATTCAGATCATCTTCACTAGATTCTGAAGAACTGCTTGGAGCTGCCTCACTGCTGTCCTCATTCGTCACTTCTGCTTTAAAAGATACTTTTACTGGATTTTCCGATTCTTTTTTATTATTTTGTGACGTTTTTACGATTTCCTCAGTTTTAGTCTGCTTAGAAGAATCTGACGATTCATCCATTTTAGGAGGATTTTTATTATCAACATCTTCATCTCGTGCTTTATAAGACTTTGCACACTTTTTTGTCGTGGGTTTTTTAGCTACTTTAGGTTTCGATATATTTTTTGGACATTTTTTATTGTCAGGTAACTTTACGTCAACATTTTCATTCTCTTCCTTTTCATTTACAATCTCTTCTTTGACATTAACATTGCAATTTACATTAATTGAAAGCTCTGTTATATTTTTTTTAGTATCAATAATTATTTTATCTGATTCTTTCACTTCTATTTTCTTCTTATTAATCAATTTATCTGATATTTTCTTTAATTTCTCCTTCTTTAAAATATTATTTATTTTTCCATTTTGCTGTGGAATTTTAGCTTTCATTTGTTTCGCTAATTTTGGTTTCTTTTCTTGACTAATTTTATTTTTAAATATAAACGAATGTTTTTTCTTGACAGTTAAATTTTTCTCTTCAACATCAAGAGCATTAGAATTATCATCTTTACAATTAGATTTGACTAGTTTTAATTTTTTTTCAATCATTCTCTTTGTCAATGGTTCGTACGATTTCTTAGCAAGAACAGTCTTTTTCGTAGGGGATTTTTTTTGCGTACATTTTGAACTTGATACCTTTTTATCCGTAACCGGTTTCGTTTTCTTTCCAAAATCCTTTTCTATCATTTTCTTTATGTCTACTTTTTTATCTTTGGTGGGTGTATTTTTTCCATTTTCCTTAGATTCAGATATTTTCACTCCCTTGGTGTCTTTCTTCTTGTCATCTTTGACCTTCTTCTTTGTCGTGGCTAAATTTTGGGGGTGATTTTTTTCTTCATTATTTCTATTCTCATCTGTACTTATTGACAGATCATAGGTCTGTTCATTCTCAATGATGTCCTCTTTACCAACTACTTTCTTCTTATCTTCCTTCTCTGCCTTCTTCTTACTATCGACAAACTGTTTATCAATTTTACATTTTCTCATCTAATTTACTGTGATTCTTCTTCTTGTCAATTGTTGTTAAATTACCACCTATTTCAGTTGGATGCTCTTCAATTTTATCATTTATCTTATCCATTTTTTTTTCATCCACAACCTCAATTTTTTTGTCTACTTGCTTAATTTCTTTCATTTTTTTCTTATCATCAACTTTATCAATTTTTTCTTTTTTCTTCTCCTCACTTTTCTTCTTCTCTAACAATTTATTCTGCTTCTCACACTTTTCTAATCTCTTCTTCTCACTATCAATATTTTTTTTCGGTTGATCAGCTTTTTTTGTCTTCTGATCGTTTTTCAAATTTATTGATGATTGATCTGCAGACATAGCTTTACGTTTTTTGGCAATTGGTGGCGACTTTGGCGCCTTTTGCGCGATAGTAGCCTTCTTTTGTGGCTTCATTACGTACGTTTTCCTTCACATTTTTAATTAAGTTAATTAACACTGTTGATTATTTATTCATTTATCTTTTTAAACACTACCTTGTTACCATAGTCAATTAAAATTACAACGGAAGTGTACAGTACGCATTTGAGCTGAAATTTGGAAAACAAATTTTGTTGTAATTTTATTCTTAATCCATGTTATAAATGAAAGTAATTCATTTAAGTTTTATTATATGGCAATTTACTCGTTCAAGATCTCGAACGGATGAAAAGAGAAAAAATTTTACAGTAAAAAAATCTTTTGTGTAATTTGTATTACAAGAATGTATTTTAAATTTCACGTTTCACAAGTTTGATTTATCAACAGAAATTCACTTTAAATGTAATTAAATGATCAATAGTAAACTGAAGAGTACTCGTAAGTAATTAAACCACGGCTGTATGGTATTCTGTAATTATGATAGAAATAAAAAAAAAAATAGAAAAATCCTCGTACTGATATTTGTAAATGGCCACAAGTGGCTGACATGAGCTAGTCTGATCGATGAATCTCGTATATAAAGACCGCAGATTTCTCAAATCATTGATAAAAAATAATAATCAGACAGTCAATTCTTCATTTTATCGTATCTTTATGTTTATTTAATTAAAAAAAAATTAAAAACTAAAAAAAAAAATAATATTGCTGTCTTCCTTCATTAAATCCAATGACTATGTATATATGTTTACCTTTGAGCAGTCCTTTTGTTGCTACTCGATTCTTTCTTGAATAATACTCACTCAAATGTCGTATACTGTATTTACTATTTTCACTTAAATTAAGATTTTTTTTCACACTGATTATACACTACACGCCCTCATTAATAGACACTGTAAACTCAACGTAATTAATTGGTGACGTCCAAGAAAGACGTCTACTTGTAAAATCGTATCCTCGATCTCACAATTCTTATCTCTGAATGTCCCTGCCCTTTTACCGTACCACTGTCCGCCATTTTCTTACTCGCGCTTCCGACGACCAAGGACCTCTGTGCTTTCTTGCATTCCCCACATACATCCGATGACAGGGACGGTCGGTAAGATACTGCTGGTGTCTTTTCCCACACCCCGCTTACACACCTATTTTCGAACAGAATATTTGTATTACTACTCCAATTCCCTGCTCACTTGCATGTTTTATTGACTCACCAGTGACATCTAATGGTTCATGTGCCAACCATTAATGCCAACATCAATCAGCTGATCCACATAAACCTCCGAATTAACGCCAGAACTGTCAGAAAACTATCAACATGGAAAATACAGAAGAAACTAAGTCAGAATCTACTGATGATTTTTTTTTAGAACTGTCAAACAATCCTATCCGATTTGAATCTCTCAGTTGTGTGACAAATGTGTTTTTTGATGACTCCAAACAGCAAGTAAGAAACAGTTATCAGTTGTTGACAAGTATTTAACCTATACAAGCTCCAAATTTAGTTTGACAGCTCGAAATGTCATTATTTATTTATTATCAACTATTTTAGTTTTTTCATCGAATATTTATGTACATTTCATCAACTCATTGTTAATATTATCTTTGAATAATTTGATTTAAATTATTCAAAGAGGTGTTGATTGTTATAGAATTTTCAATATGATTGAAAAATAACAAAAGCTAGTAATTATTTAATTTTTTTTACATCTAGGTATTTGCTGTTAGGTCAGGAGGAGCAACTGGAGTGTATGGACCAAATGAAAATTTCTTCTTCAAAATGGAAGATAAAGGCCAAGTTATATCTATTAAATTTTCACCAGATATGAGTGTATTAGCAATCCAACGAACACATACGTCAGTGGAATTTGTTAATTATTCGCCGACCAGTGGCTTGGATGCCATTGAATATTCTCAGGCTTGTAAAAGTAAAAATGCGACTATTCAAGGTTTTGTATGGACTCACAGTAATGAAATCTTAATAGTTACTGATCATGGAGTAGAACTATTTTCAGTAATTATAATTTTTTTATATTTCAGTTATATATTTAAAATATAAAATGATTTCAATAATTCATTTCGTATTAAGTATGAAATCGATTGAATCATTTATTATCTAATTTTCTAGGTCAATCCGTCAAAGAGAAGTGTTAAGGCACTGAAATCCCTTAGCTTAGGTGTTAATTGGTATGTTTATTGTCCTCAAAGTAGTATGATTCTGTTATCATCTGGTACAATTGGAAATCAGATGCAAGCATTACATATAACTCCAGGAAATTTACATAAAATAACAAAATTTGAAAGTAAGAAATTGTATTCTTTTAATTAAATAACCAATTTTTAACATTCTAAAAACATTCTCTCAGTGGAAGCTGGACCAGTAAAGCCTGGTAAATATGCGGTATCTGAAAGAGATGTAGCTTTAACTGTTCTTTATGGAATTCCATGTATTATTGTTTTAAGACATCATTACGAAGCTAAATCACTTAGTGCCTATGTTTGTATTTATACTGTACATAAGTGAGTACTATTGAATGTTCTATCAAGCTATCAAATGATATAATTCATCATTAATTATTCCAATAACTTTTTTTTACTTTTCAGAATGTTGACAATAAAAAAAAGTCATATTTTAAAGTTAGATATGCGTGGCCGATTTGCTATTAATGTTGTAGACAATTTAATAATCGTACATCATCAAGCATCCAAAGTAAATAAAATATTCAGTTGATAATAATTTTATCTGTATGGAATAATAATTGAGATATTTATGAATTCATTATTTTAGACTTCCATGATTTTTGATATTATGTTGGGTGGTGCCAGTGATGGAACTGTAATGCATCATACAAGTGTAGCTGTGCCAAAGCCAATTAAGCCATTCAATCTTAAAGTTCAAGGTGCAACATTATCAGAACAGGTCATACAGCCCTGTCCACTGTGTATCCTTAATATAAACAATGTTGTAATTATTTTCATTTTATACACTGCATATATTTTCGTATATTTTATTATTATGTACCTTAATACAATAATTAGATTCAGAAAATTGGGTGGTCTTTCAACCCAACATCATTATCGATATTAAATTGGGATGTCTATGGTAATTGTATTTTAAATTATTAATCTTTTCACAAAAATACCTATTAAAATTTTATAATTATTTTTTCATTAATTATGATCAAATTAATTAAATTTAAAACCTCAATTACGGTACCAATTTAGCACTTTTAATACAAATTATAAACAAAAAATTAATTAATTTAAATGTATTTATAAAATTAAATTGCTACAAAAATCATCCATTACTATTGAAATGGTAAGAGACATTATTTCTCGTAACTCCACTGGATATCTCGTGAAGAAAACTACTCTGTAGAACAGAACAGAATTGTTTCCGGCGTAATGTGGACTTATTTACATAGTATTACTTATGACCTTTGAAGCAAAATATTCTAAAAAAATGCTTAGCTAAAGCATACGTCATTGATTAATGCAAATTGCAAAGCTTCACAAAATGTTCCACTAGTCTCTCTGTAAATTTAGGATTGTACAAATGCCTTTTATTTGTATTACGTTAATCGTAAATACTCCGATAGTTAGGTTCATAAAGGGCAAAATTGACCATCAAACTATTTAATTTTGTTCCAGGTACATAGAACTACGATTAGAAGCTTTAGTGAAACTTTTAACCGACAAAGTTCAATTGATAGAATTTTTATTACAACGTAAAAATGCTAAACCAATTCTTTTACAAGTTCTGCAAACTTCTGTAAGTGATTTACCTGCTAGTCTTATTGATATGCCAGCAATATTCGATAAAATTAATGCAGTATATCGAGGTCACCTGGAAAATGAAATTCAGAGTCAGGTATAATATTTTTATAATGTTTGTGTAAGTTAGATTGGAAGTTGGATGATAGTATGCATTACGTTTACTTTACAGATGGGCACACCTTTAGTGAATGCACTGAAAAGCGGAACAGAAAATTCTGATAATCTTTCATACAAATTATTATTAGAACAAAGTGATATATATACTCACATACTTTCCAGGTTTTCTTTAGACTCAGTAGAACCGAAAATGGTCATTTGGGTTTTACTTGAATACATAAGGTATTCATAATAATAAATAATTTACTAATTTTTCTTATTACTTATTATTTAATCAACAAATGGATTGATTGAAGCCGATAAAAGAGTGAATATTGAAATTGAAAAAAAAATCCTTTCAGAGGTTTTGGTCTGTCCATCTATCAGAACCGTCCTTTTTGTGTAACCTCTTGACCTAAAAGTCGACCCAAAATTTGCATTTCAATAGATTGACTCTTCATCCTTTTTCAATGAAAAATTGTCAATTTGGTATTTCCAACTTCCGTAAACCAGATTAGTTATTTCTCCACTTACCTATCGGAAATTGTCATTTTTTCCAACATAACAATGGAGAAAATATGTATTTAAATAAATTAATATTCTAATTAATTGCAATTCGAAAAATCAATATAACAATGTAAAAAATTCAAACTCATGTGAAGCAGGTAAAATTTAATTGGCTAAATATGTACTGTTTGTTTTTTTAAGATCATTAGTGGAACACGGCATTCCTGTACAACACTTTATATACGAACTGGTGATTACAACGCTTGTACAACGAAAAGCATATTATCAACTCCATCAGTTATTGCAGTATCATGTTGTAGCTGACTCAAAGCCATTAGCATGTTTACTTTTGTCCCTAGAAAATTTGTACCCAGCAGCACATCAACTGGCATTGGATATGCTAAAACGGCTTGGCAATGCTCATGAAGAAATAATTGAAGTTTTACTCTCAAAAGGACATATATTACCGGCTTTAAGGTATTTCTAATTTTCTAAGATTCTAAACAATGCAAATAGCGTGCAAAGAATTTATTGATTATTTGATTTATTTACTCATCAAATTCATTCTAGATACGTGAGGTCAGTAGGGCTGATGAATCAAGTGTCGGCACGTAAATTTTTAGAAGCTGCCAAAGCAATGAATGATTCAACAATCTTTCATTCTGTATATAAATTTTTTGAACAACGTAATGTTCGTCTTCATAACACAACTGCTTTTACTCGAAGTGAACATTGCCAGTCTTATGTGCAACATTTCGAATCTTTGTTTCGCGGAATAGATAATTCTGGTAATGTGAGTATTAATTCTAGCATTTCTACTAATCCAATACAAGATTGAATTTATACAAGATGATGTATATTCATTAAAAAATATACATGTGCAATTTCCTTTAATCCTGGTCATCATTTATTATAATTACTTTTTTTAAGTTGACTTACAAAAATGAAAAATGACAAAAACTTTCGTAAAGTCGTCAGAAATTGTAAAGCCTTGATAATCTCACTGGGTTTATCTTCAGATGCGAGACAATTCAACTAACATTGGGATATTTCAATCACTGCGTTAACTGAACTGTAAAATGCTTTATCATTGCAACCACAGAGACACGAAGAGTAACACTATGTCCCATATATTCAAAGAAAAATCGATAATGCTTTTATTCCATTCTTCTTCAATATTTTGTTTGTTGAACGTCGTGAATCCGAAAATTCACGTATCGGTAAACTTCAGATTCGGTATATAGCATACAAAATTTGCCATTTTTCAACAAGAATAGTAATAATATCAGGAAGAGAGTAGTAAATACTACTATAACAAAGTTTAATGTATTTTTATTTAAAATGAGTTTTATTGACATATTTTCTTTCACTTTTTGTCTTTCTTTTTATTGCTTCATGAAGCAATAGTATTTGTTTTATTTTTTAACTGTCATTTTTAATATTTTTACAATAAATTTATTTTAGGTGGACATAAGTAACAGTACTTAGATATCTTGTTTTTTGTAGATTCTTTTTGTCGTTTTAATTTTATAAATAATTTTTTATCATTTATATGATAAATATTTATTGTTATACATAGTAAATATAAGTGTATTGATTTATCAATAATTTAGGTAAATTCGGAAATTACAATCTCATTTATTTTCTTCAATAGAAAAATATTACAGAGCATGAGTTTAGTTCAAGTGACTGAATAATAAAAGTTACTTATACTGTAGTAATACCTTTCAATATTGAAGTGAGCATAGATGAGATTTGTTTTATAAATCTGTTCCCACATTTTACACTGCATTAAAGCTCCACGAATATAAAAAAAATAACTTATCGGGTAGAAAGATATTTTTATAAATATTAAAACAATTTCACCTACCAATTTTTCACATAAAACCGCTTATGATGATTAATGGTAGCGAAATATAAAAAAGAAATAACTCTTTAAACGAGATCAAAATGTTTGAGTTGTTAAACACACTTTTTTTTTAACGTAAAAGCAGACAACAGAAGCTTGATGCAATAAAGAATATCACAATGGGAAACTTTCTACCCTTTAAGCTATTTTCTCAAAGTTCATGGAGTTATGAAAAATTTACTTTCATAATTTATTCTTTGTACACATGGTCTTTATATATTTGGTCTCACATATAATCATAAACACGTTATTATTTTATTTTTATGCTAATTGTTTAGCAATATCTATTTTCAATTATTCTCAAACATACGATATATTTGAAAGTTTAGAGTTGACATAGTTGGTAAAGTACTTTTCAAACATATATTCTTTTTTAGTTCAGTGCAAAAATTTGTAAAGAATTTTGTGCTTTAATATATTTAAAGACATTTCAGAATCGATTGATAATAATATTAAATCCTAGATCTGCCAAGACTGATGAAGATGAAGACGAAAATTTTTTCAACAATTTCGTTAAGATAATTGAATATTAGTATTGTTACATATCATATACATGTAATCAATTTAATTTTTCTACACTCATATATTAATCAATGATTATATTTATTAGTAAGTTTTGAATTCTTTTGATTAATAGCTTAGCCCTCAGAGTCTATATTTTTCATTTTGACTATGAATAGTATTTATTATAAATCCAAATACATATTTGACTGGTACAGGGATTAATTCCTATCTGCTTTGCATATAGTGACGAAAAAATCTAGAAGTAAGGCATAGCAATAAATATGGAAAATTCATTTATTGAATACATATTACGTTTTATATTTTTTCTACAACTTTGAATCAATATTAAAAATAAATATGAATTGAAATAAAAGTAAACGTACACAAATTTTTTGACAAAATGTTCTCAAATATCTATTGTCAATAGCCTGAGAGTAAATCACAAATAGATAAAAGTAAAATAAAAAGGTAAAGAAAATTTCGTTTCGACATTTTTTGTTGGCAATTTACAATTCTTTATGCTCCATTATTTCATGTAAAATTCAAATACTAGTATTATTAATTGAAAAAAATATAAAAATCACATTGACGTGGTCGTTTAATAAGATATAAACTTATTAATTAATTACTTAATTTATAGAATCGTTAAATACTAACTTAAATTAAAAAAATATCATTGATATCAACTTCAGTAACTATTTGCGTTTTGTGAAATTTCTTTTTTGAGTTTTTCAAAGCCAATGTCAGCAGAGTTGTAAACCTTCGTCATTAAAAACCCATCTCCGGTTCAGCGGAAGTTAAAATTTCTTTTAAATTTTAGTGAAATAAATTTTTTGCTGAAACTAAAATTGCTGTCAAAAACATGTGTTTTTGTATTTCATCGCTCTAATCGGTAGATATGATTCAATGTTCATAGTTTATAAAACCCAAAAAAAAAATCACCGATTGTTCATTTGGAATTTTCAACGATTCATTTTGGAAAAATTTTAAAATTACTTTATATCATAAGCGTAATAAATATTGAATATTTTTGTATGTTCGTATGATTATTTTAACATCAAATTTGGTTAATAGCATAGACATCATAAAATCAACAAAGTCACATTAATTTATTATTTTAATAATATTTTTCACAATTTTTCGAATATTTGTAAAATGCCATTGATTATAAATCATTTCCCGGACGGTATTTACACACATATGTATTTTAAATATCAACTAATTTATCATTGAACTGTGCTATGTGTTATGCTATAGTTATTAAATTAAATCAAAATCTCCACTTTATTATTAATCATTTAAATTTGAATGTTCATATTTTTATGACTATTTACAAAATCTTGTAAGCCAGTATTTTATCAATAATTTTTTTTTAATTAATAACACAATAAATTTCATAATCAACTATATATTAAATGGACTACTGCACTCTTGGAGGTGATAAGTGTAACATTGATTTTTATACAGTTTTGTTAAAACTATCAATCTCTTTCGAGCATCGATGATGTATTTGAATTATCTATAGTTCTATGCTATGCAATTTCTTCACTTTGTCATAACTTTAAAAATTCATATTTCAAATATTCTATGTTTAAATAATATCGTGGCATACTTACGGCTTTTCTAATCTGAATTCCAAGAATAGTATCTTTATCGAATACATATTTATTTATATATATTTACTTAAAAACACCTAGAGAGACTTTAAAAAATATAAATTAACACTTCTACTTTAGCCATTTTCAAAAACTCACCTATTTATTCATTGTCTAAAAAATGGATTTTTTTTAGTAAATTTCAGTTTTCTTTCTGTTTTTTCCTTTGGAAAATATATTCATTAATTTACCAAAATTAAGTTTACACGTTAGTTATTGTAATATTATTATTATAAATATAATTTTTTTATTATTGTTTCTATTGAATTTATTTTTGGTGTTTATATTATGATAACTAAATTTTATTTACCAGCTACTTAGGTGAAATAAAGTTTTTTTTTCTTTAATTGATAAATTTTTAAATACTGAACAACAAATGAAGATTGTTGTTTTTTAATTCTTTTTTTTATATATATATATGAGAATAATTACTTTTATATGACTAGCAGATAGATTAAATATTTTGTAAATTTTATGTTTTTAATATATGAATTATTCTCAACTCGAAAAAACAATATTTGGTCCATTTGCAAGCAATGTCTGATAAGATTAATGATTCCTCATTTTTATGAATACAATACAATTGTATATTTTTTTTTCATTTCATTTGTTGTTCTTTACTAGTTAAAAACTGATATGTTTTATTTGGAACAAAAAATAGTTAATCCACTAAAAAAAATGTATTTCAACCAGAAAGGTTTTTTTCCTGACACATGAAAAAAAAATATATCCTGAGAGATACTTGACCAATTCCAAAAGAGAGAAAAAAAAAATGTATGAATAACAGAATGATTCATTATATAATAATGTTCATTGAATTATCATATAAAAGTAAGCAATGCGTAACAGATGGTGTAGTTATTATGATCAACTCGTAATAATAAGATAAGTTCACAAGAGAGACCCGCACTTGTTTCACGACCACCTTTTTTTTGACTCTCGTAAATTGTAAGGTAAAAAAAGTAACAATAAAAAGCAGATGACTCTGCTTTGATCTTTTATAGTGTCATCTTCATCCACCCTCGATGTCTGTCTCTTCTTCGCTTCACCGACACTTCCTTTAGTTCTGCCCTCATCTAAGACTTTACCCACGCTCCCATCTTAGTTTATCGTTCGTTTCTTGTCTCTTCATTTGAAAATTTCAAAACTTACCTCTATACACACTTATTGATATTTCCACTACATTATTGCCCTAGATTTTCCTTCTTATTTCCAATTGACCTTCCTGCAAACAGCTGGAATTGCTAGACTTAATATTCCTGAGAAAAATGAACTTCTTCTAAACACTGCAATATTCACTCACATCTCTATTTCATTTTACCATCTGTATCATCATTTCTCTGCATTATTTCTTCAACACAACAACTTATTGCACTCAGCTATTTATTTGTTTAAGAAATATTACAGTCATCAGTATGTGCATCCCGGATCTGTTGTTTTGTTTTTCTAGATGCTCGTCTTATCAAACTCCTGCTACGAGGTTTGCTCTTGACCTCTTCTGCGACTGCTACAACACTTGTTCCTTGAGCAGCGAGTACCTGTTGCGGAGATCCCGGGCCAGCACTGTCAGTCCTTCCGCCTGGACTGCCGGATCTACTATTAATTATTCTTACTACAGCATTACCTTCTTTAAATTTTACATTTTTTGCTAAAATGAAAGGTATACCTCCAAAAACTTTATCTTACCTATGTCCATAAGCTGAACGTCTTCTTCTCAATGCAGTTTCATCAATTTCACCTGCTGGAGTCTTTGGAACAATCTTTGAAAGAGTCACAAAACATCTAAAGATTTCTTTGATATTTTTATCGTCCTTTGCTGAACATTCCATCACTTTAGCTCTAAGTTTGGGCAATTCACAGAAGAGCCATTCGCTGACATCTTCAATTGGAACTTCACGTCTTACAGATGCTAGATCCAGTTTATTTCCAGCTATTACTATAGGAACTTCCTATTGTTAAACATTACAATAAAACATTTGATTAAATTTCTTTTTCAATTCTTGGTAGAAACAAAATAATATTTTAATCAGATAAAATTAATTATCGTTCAGAGTTTCGATTTCAATTAAAAATTATAATTTAAACTTTGGATAAATAATCAATCTAAACCCTGGATCCATATTAGCTGGTTTTGTTGTTAGCTTATTAAATATAATATCAAGTCAAAATTTTAGATATCAAACCTGATAGTCCGGCCGTTGTTCTCTGACTTCCTCGAAGCACATTTTGACGCATTCAAAACTTGACAGTGATGTCGTTGCGTAAACGAGCAGAAAAGCATGTGCAGTAGCTATGCTCAACCTCCTCATTGCTGGAAATTGAAGATCGCCTAGAGGGATAAAAGCAAAAAAAAATCAAAATAAATAACATGACCATTTGATAGGATATATTTTTCTCTTCTGCTCTAAGCTACTTATCGATTTTTTACCTGCAGTATCTAAAAGATCGACTTTTAAAGTTAATGTTCCTAGAATACATTCTCTAGAATAAAGATCTTCAACTGTTGGTCTGTATCTCTCGGTGAAACCCTGGCCAAGAAGTCGTCTAATGATGGCACTTTTCCCTACACCAGCACCTCCAAGAACTACCAACCGAATTCTTTCATAGTCGGTCATTTTTCAGAAAGTTTCAATGTTGCTGTGAATATTTTTAATCAGACGATAGCAATGAAATTTTAATTTAAGTTCATGGCAAATTTTAGAGCAGGTTGTTTTTCATTCATTGGCATTTCTTTTTCAAGTGATCTTGAGAATATTTAAGAAGATTCAAGTAGAAGATGTCTGAATCTTGTAAAGAATCATGGTCAGCGCAAGCGTGTTTTCAAGTATTGTATGATTCCGGAAGCCGTCGCCTTCGTGACCGTGGGAGTGGCTTTTTCTAGTTATCGATCGTGATCAGATATTGAAAGTTTTCACATTTTTCTATTCATTTATTGGTGAACTTATTTATTCGCAAGTTGAACGTAGCAAAAAGAAATAATCACTTGATGAACTTATCATTACTGTAAGTGATAGGAATTTCTTTGAAAGATAGAAAATCAAATTTCATAAAACATTTCACTGTCATGAATGGAAATAAATCTTTCATTTAAACGACAATTTTTTTCCTTTAATTTTATCTCATTCTTATTTTTCCTCTTTCTGTTGACGTAGAATGAATTTCCAGGAAAGTTCTGAAATGAAAATGCATTTTAATTAGCTGTAACATTATCAATAAATTTGTGTATTAATTACATCAAAAGAATCATTTTATTTATTTATGTGGCAAACAAAGACAAAAAGGAATGATTTGAATTTTGTTTTTTATATTTTCAGAATAGCTACTATTAATTAAATTAATATGATTCAAGCGTAAATGAAGACATTTAATTAGTAACAAATGTCTAAAGGGCGAGTTATTTATAGAGAAATTAATCATTAATGAATATAGCTTACATTTTCTCACTGTATAGACAGTTAAAATGAAATATTGGACATTCAGATCAATGCTAATTGCAATGGAAAATGTTATTAGTGAATGTTTGGAATATTATCTTATTATATTAAAATGATTATTGGCTAGTAAACAGGAATCGTTAACACATGTGTAATATCATATTACATTAATAATGAGCATTCAACATATAATGGAAATCACCAAGTGAAAAATTAAATCACTTTTACTTTATAAGACCAAAGAATTATATCAGAATAATTAAAAGTTAATTATCAAATTATCGGAGAAATTGTACTTTAATCAATTAGTAATGAAAATTTCTATCTAAGGGTTTGACTTTCTGAGAAAATTCAATGAGTCTAAGAGCGATAGAATGAAGGAGCAAGAGACAAACTAGTCGATGAGCTAGTTCCTAGACTTTATAATTTTCGAGTCAGTTAACTGAACTTGAAGCGAATTAATAGAGCTCAATATCAAACCAACTTCAACATCAGCTAATGAGCCTCTGTACTTTTTTAGGACTTTATTATGACATAGCCTTCAACCATCTCTGGTAAATTAGTTCATTATCATATTAAATTTTCACTCATCATATTCTTTTATTTATTATTTCTATCTATTTTTATCTTTATTATACGAATCTATTCATTAAGTAATCATTAATATTGCCTTAATAAATTGTTGAATAATTTTTATAAATAGTTCTATCTACCCTACAATTTAACGTAGGTTTAAAAATTCATTTCCCTTGTAAACATAATGAGTTCAATGAACTTGTAATCAATTATTTAAAAATATTCCGAAATTTTTTGTATTCATACTCAACATGTTGTTGTATTCATTAAAAAGTTCATATTATTTATAGAATGATTGCAACAATTTATCAAGAAGCTAATAGGGTTTGCTATCATCGTTATCACAGCACCATTTTTATTTTCTATGCTCAATAAAATTTTTTACTATGTATTTATAAATCAATAGATACGTCCACGATTCAAGATATTTTTAGTCACAATCAGTTTTTCCAATCAATACATGATTGTTATGTTACACAGGAATATTTTCCATATTCACATCGATTCAACAAATGTCAAGCATCTTCGTGGTGATGAATTAATTGGCTTGACGATTAAAAGTGATATTGGAATGCCAAATGCCATGGTTTTACTCAATACTCCCCTCAGCTATTAATGTGGTGATATGAAAATCAAATAGTACTGGTCATTTAGAAGAAGTTTTCGAATTGCAATTTCATTAATGTGATACTGGACTGTTTACTCAATGATAATAATAATATTACGTTGATAGTAACTAGGTGTTTTCATTTGTCTCTGAAGTCTATTATCACGTGCACTGGAAGCAATTAAGCAGTCCTGCGGGTCTGGTGAATCTATTACTGAAGCGCAATATCGGCCCACCAACAACCACATATAAAACCACATGCCAGTATTTTTCAGATTTTTTTATGTAACACTTTTTTATTTTATCCATCAATTAAGAATTTAATTAATTTTTCATCCACATATTATTTTCTTCAATTACTGACCAGTAAGAGTTGGTATATTTTTTGAAAAATACACTGTAGAAAATATTATAGCTTATTAATATACAATCAGTCTCATCAGAAATCATTGAAGCATTGTATTTTTATTTAGCAATCTAATCTTCTAATTTCCAACTTTATCTATTCAATTAATTTTCAATGTTTTTTTATACATGTATCAATTTCACACAAGAATCGATATCCTTTTATCTCCAACGCTATCAATAAATTATGTCCTTTCCTTCCCTTTGTATTTGGGTGTGAACATATTGCACACGCATCATCTTTACTTGGCACTTTCCGATTATTTCATGGGGTTTCCAAGCTTGACCTATATTCGAATTTGAGTTATTAATCTATCAGCTGTGTCTCATCTTTTTTTTTTTCGATTTAGTTTAGTCTTATTAAATAATTTAGTAAGGCCAAGGGTGTTTAGTTACTGTGAAGACTTTAATTGTTAAATTATAGTCATCAAAACGGTGTACCAATCGATATTTATTGATAGCCATTTAATAATTTAATTATTAATTATTACTTCGAACGTAAATAAATTATTTATCATCATATTACAAAGTAATTATTCACATTTATACGGAGGAATAAATTGGAATTTTAATATTTCTTTGATATTCTGAAATAATTATTCGAACAAAGTTATGTCCGCAATTTTCAGTTTATTAAAAAATATTGTTATGACATAAATTGCAAGATGAATAATTGCACTTGTCATACTACCATTTCTGCAGTATCTGAAACATAATTTTGCTAACAGGCTCAATTTTCGCATCGCTTAAATCTAATTAACAACGTTAAAATCGTAGAAGCGTTACGATGAAACTATAGAGAAAGAGAACCGAGTGGGTATAAGTGTGAGTAAGGGCTTCGACAACTCGTCCATGTCCAATTAGGATTTTGGATATGTTTAGGTATATCATATTATGTCGATATTGTAGAATAACTAGTATATAAGAAAATGCTCGAATGATTCAATTAATTGCTGATCGTAATCAATTTTTCACTAATCTCATTTGACCCATTCCGGTCACACATGTATATTATCCAATAATGCTTGCCAAGTTTAACATCAATTCTGGTTTGTTGAGAAATCAAACTTGCTATTTACTCATCAATAATTAATCTCACAATTTTCAATAAAATTTTATTGCACATTCAAACCAAACATTTCATAAATAAATAATTTTTATATTTCCCCACCAGATGTTTAATTATAAGATACGAAGGCTACTATATTCCAACATTGAGAGTTTTTATTTAAAAAAACATAAAGAAACGAAGACTCAATTGATGTGAAATAATAGATAATTAAATGAAAAAAAGCATGATCAAATAAGATTCAAAAGAAACTTTGTATCTTATTTTTAATTACAGATACTGTCAGCACTTTCATTTAGCTTACCCTTATTTAAGTCATTTTCCCTTTTATTTGCACGTAGAAAATCTTTCTTCAAGTTAGCTCTTATCTATATAGACTTTTTTCTTTGAAAACAGCCCACGATAAAATTGAGATGTAATATAGAGATTCATACTCATTTACTTTCCAAATTATTTTATTTCAAAGAGAAGGAAGTGAATGTATTATTTAACTAGATCTGTTTGTAAAAATTAAGCAATTTGGATTGAAAATAATAATCATAAAAATCAATAAATTATCATGAGAATAAGTATGGTTTATGTAGGGAGCTTTATTTTTATTTAGTAAAGGTGAATGATGACAAAACTGGAAAAAGCAGATAGCAGCTATTAAATACATATCACAATAATGGAATATAGAGTTCCTATAAACAAACGTGACTGAAACTATTCTTGCGTAATATCAGCAGGGGATCTGTTGAATATGTAGCATTTGATGCTGTCGACTTTTATATTATTAGTCTGAAAGCAAACTGTGATAGAGTAATAATATTTAAAAACTCACTAAAAATGTTGATTAATTTGAAAGAGCCTGGAGACTATCACCATCAAAAAGAAGATCTAGTTACGATGATACATAGCTAAATTAAAATGCAAGGAGAGCTGTATAGGGAAGATATCGTATGTGATCATAGTTAAATAAATTATGATAGGGGAATATGAAATAGAATAGTATCTTCAAGCATAACCTGAGGGCTTTTTGATAATAAGTATTTTGTGATGTGAAATAATTCTTTAATGAATTGCTTTGTGTTTATAAAAATGAACTTTTTTTTATTGAGATAAAATTTTAATCAGTGATATCGCAATAAAACCGGACAGATATGAATTGTTTAGGTTTATTTTTAGATGAAAAAAATTTTCTGTCATTTATTTGAAAAGCTTATCGACAAATAAAAAAAGCAAAATTCAAAGTTTGATACCTTTTTTTTAAAGACTTTTATGATTTTTTAATGATAAAACTGTTTACTTCCTAATATCCTTGATACATGTCACAAATAAAAAAATTTAATCGGATTAATCCTTATTATTTATTGATTCGATATCTATATTTAATGAATAACGCCAAAGAGGGTAAAGAAGTGATCGTAAAAAATGTATAAAAACAGAAATGTGAAGCATTACGAGTAAAAGAATTCTTTCTTTAAGAAGCAACGTAATTTTAATTATACTTTCTTTTTGAATGGTGTTAATAGCATTTAGAGTATCTAATTATAAGTCTGTAGTCTATGTTTATACAAGGGATTGGAGATGGTAGAATATTTGGTTAGACAGACAAGAAAAGAAAGACCATGAGGGCTAGATGTATACATGTGGTTGGAACCATGTGTACATATATTCGAAATTCACGTCGGATGTGTGGAATGCTTTTGGTCATTTCTCGGAGGTAATTCTACAGAAGCATTCCATGACTATTTTCAAGCTCTGAGACTTTATTCGAGAATTCCGAAATAATAATGCTGTAGTACAGTTATTGAATTTAATAATGGAATGGTTCAGTAAAAAGTCTTTTATTTTTATTCATAAATTTAGCAAATTTACCGTTTTTTATCAAAGGAATATGAATAAAAGGAAAATAAAATTTTGAGAAATAAAACAAAATGAATCAGACAGTCTGGATCTTTTAACATTTAATAAAAACTAGTATTCCATCAATTTTAAATTTAAAAATGTCTTATTTCAATGCACTAAGGGCATTTTGATGAATATTATAGTCATATTTTATGAACTATAAAAGTATTTACAGAGTGACTACAATGTTA